GTTAGCTTCAAGAACTCCCTGAAATGGAACCGATTCACTAGGCTCCTCCCGGCCAGAGTAAATTATAAAAGCTGAGAGTCCCTCTCAGAGGGAAAAACGCTGAGCCGCAAAGAAGACTGAGAAGATCTGCGAAGACTCAGACCTGACCAGCGGCCTGGAAGCAGCAGCAAGCAGCCGTGCTGCACCCAAGAGGTCTAGACCAGAGGCACTTGGAAAGGACTCTCTCCAACCTGTTGAGTTGCCTGCAGGCTGTGCAGTGAGCACCAGGTTCCCAGCTTCTGCGAGCTCTCACCCATGCTGGGGTGGGCCTCGGTGATGCCGCTGTCTGTGAGTCGTTTCTGCTCCTGTAAATGACCCCTCACCCATACTCTTATAAGTAGCCCCAATAAAACTCATTGGTTCACTAAGCTGGGCTTCGATGGCATCCACGCTTTGGTCTGCCATGTGACCCCTAGGTGGGGTAAGTAGGCATCTGTCCACTCCCCACAGATTCATCCCACACTAACATTTCAGGATCAACACCAGAGCCCATCGACTCGGTAAAGGTACACCTCTTAACATCAAGATGGGCTGCTAGGAAGTCAGACACAGTAGCTCTATCTGTCATCCCAGCACTTGGAAGGTTCTGACAATCATCTGAGGCCAGCTGGGGCGATACAGTACACCCCTGAGATACACAGGCAGACCCTGTCTCAGAAAAAAATGTATTATAGGCACAGGATAAAAATTCAAACTGGCCGGGCGGTGGTGGCGCACGCCTTTAATCCCAGCACTTGGGAGGCAGAGCCAGGCGGATCTCTGTGAGTTCGAGGCCAGCCTGGGCTACCAAGTGAGTCCCAGGAAAGGCGCAAAGCTACACAGAGAAACCCTGTCTCGAAAAAAAAAAAAAAATTCAAACTGCTTTAGCAGAGAGGCTTCACACAGGTCTTTCTGGTGACATATGACATTTGGAGACCAAGGACAAGGAACACGGACGGGTCTTAGAGAACCAATAAGACCCTTTACAATAATGAGCAAAGCTCTAAACAAAAATAAGGGCTTCAGGTCTGGTTGCTCTGCTCCATGCTCACTCACGCCCCCAGGCCTCTCACTAGATTTCATTTCTCAACCTCTTTCCTAAGGGACCACCCCCATCCCCACTGCAGACCAGAACTTTGCTTCTTAACATTCCATGAAAAGAAAAACTGTCACCAAAGCAGTTGGGCTTGTGAACTATTAACACTAAAACCCAAACGTGGTGTTTTTTATAGAGATTTACAGGTGAGGCAGCTCAGATTTTGGAGTAGGACAAAGAATATTCTAGACCTGCACCAGCCAAAACTTTGTACGGTGATGGAATGTTTGTGACGCGCTGCCCATCGTGGTGGCCCAACCACATTCCTCTAGCAGCCCCCAGGTACCCACCCTGCCCTAACTCCCAGGGCATAATCAGTATACTTTTTAGGTATAAGCCTGCGACTACCAGTGCGCTCTCTCTCTCTCTCTCTCTCTCTCTCTCTCTCTCTCTCTCTCTTTCTCCTCTCTCTCTCAGCCCACACTCAGAATACCTTTAATGCCTTTCCTTCACCAAGTCTTTTTTTATCAATCAAAAAAAAAAAAAAATAGACCCTAGAGGACCAGCAGGCTGGTCGGAGCTTGAAGAGCTACGGCAAGCCCTGAACTCTTGCCAGCTAAGGCCAGCAGTGACAGGCCTTCCTCTACCCTGAAGCACCCCATGCTTCCCCTCCGGAAGTCACCTTGTTGCCTTGCTTTGCTCCTGATGCAAATGGGCCTCAATGACAAGGCTCAGTGAACACAAGTGTTCAGTATACAGGACAGGGAACAGAACGTTTACAAACATGAACTCCAAACGGCAGGGACTTGGACAGAATGGCATGCACCATCAGGAGGAGGGAAATAAGGGTGAACAGTGATGCTGTATGCTTCTAATCCCGCACTTGGAAGACTGAAGTTGGAGGACTGTGGGTTTAGGCTGGCCTTAGTTACATTAGCGGGTCTCAAAAAAAGAAAAAGAACACTTGGGGCTAAAGGTCAATGATACAGTACTTACCATGCATAAGGCCCCTATGTTCAATCCCAAGGACTTGAGAAAGACCGAGACTGACTGCACCAGGAAGGAGAATCAAAACCTGCCCTATGAAGCCAGATTTAGGACTTAAACACACCCCACTATAGAGATTAGCAACTTTCAAACATCATAAGATGATTTCAGCGGGGCATGGGACCCACGGAGCCCAAGCAGCTCCCCATAATGAAGTCCCTAGGATGACTATTCAAAGAAACAAATGCCAGACACAAACTTCCCCCAAACAGGAAAAGACTGGGCTGCAGAGAGGCCCAGGCATGGCAGACTCACATGGAAGATTGGGAAGGAGTGGCCACGGAAAACGGGACAGCTCTCCAGGCACATGAGCTCCGATGCCTTAAAATGCCAGTTTGATCGAGACATGTTGACCCAGGAGGCTAGGTGGCAAAGCATGGAGAAACCAATTTGTCTTCTCTTTCCTTCTAAGCAAGTTACTAGGTCAGAGGCTAGGGGAGGGAGTGTTTTTATATTTAAGTAATCAAATGATTGAGTCAAACACAGGGATTCCTTGTGAGTGAGGGATACTATACTTAAGTGCCTGCCGTATACCAGGCACAGTCCCCAGTCTCAAATATGATCTCCATCCATACTTAGGATGGGAAAGGAAAAACTGGAAGTTTAAAACCACCTTTCTCCATAAACTATGGCTATGACCAGTCTCTGAATCGGGTCCAAGTATAATCTGGCTTACTGGTTAGCAAGACAGAATTGCTGTAAAGTACTGATGTTCAGCAACCCGACACCATTTTTGGCATCTGAGCAGGACAACGTACATCAGATATCTGTATCTCGGCTGTCACCCTGCAGTGGCCAAGTGTGAATGCAATTTCTACAAACAGCTGGGAGATAGGAGAGACGACTCTGAGGAACTCCGTGTAGACACAAACCCACTAGATCCAGACCAGTCTCACCCACTGGGTTAGACAGCCACCTGCACACACTCCACAGAACAAGGCCTACTGAATTGGCAAAATGACTGAAGCTTTAGTGATTTGCATACCTGTAGGGTACAAGGACCTCCTCTAACCCAAGGCCATTTTCCATATTTCACAAGACTATACCCAGGAATTACCCAGAACCTACAAAACAGGTTAGAGGTGAAAGAAAGCTCAAGTCCAAAAAGCTCCCCAAACATAACCTCGCTTGTTCCTTAGGCTCTGGGGAAAAAAAAAAAATCCTAAATAATCTGCAGGTGAACCACTTAAATGCCAACAACAGAAGAATCCGATATGAGAACTCCTTCAGAGTCCCTAGATGCTCTGTACCTTTTAAGAGAGGAATAGGTAGGTAGCCCTATGACTCTATGCCTCACTTTCTTAAAAAAACGTTTAAAACAAAAACAAAACACCCCACGGTCACTAATTTGGGAAGGATTTTGCAGTTAAACGAGCATGTGAGGTTAATTTCCTGGAGCAATAGCTTTTCGTGAACTGTGTTCCTGGACGACAACTTCAATACTCGGGTACAGAGGGAGGTGGTAAGCCAACAGAGATGGTTACATCAGGTCCAGCGGCCCTAATTTCACTGCAGGAATTAAATTTAAACCCCAAGCAGCCTCCACCTCAGTAGGGGAAAGATCGGCAGTTTAACCTCACTAATTGCCCTACACATACACCCTATCCACTGGCACCTGGAGCGAAGTCCACCGGGTTTGTGTTAACCACAGCCCAATGGTAGAAAGGTACCGATCGCCGGAGCCATTTCCCGGGGGAGAAAGGTCCCGTTATATACAGGGCTTCCCAGAGGTATCTTCTGCACAGCACAATACCATCAGTGCCTTCCCTCCCGCGGAAAGGAAACAGGAAAAGCCATAACCTAGGGCACGGGAGTAGTTGACACCGGAATGTCGGCCTGTTACGCGTCCAGAGGTCTCTCCAAGTACATTTTTACCTATGACCCCGGCAAAGTCCCCCCATGACTCCTGCAAAATCCCTCCAGATCACCAACCTGGGACGGGAAGGAAGGTGGAGCGTGACAAGTGACATTGGACTCCCCCCACTCCCAGGCCAGAAGTCAGCGGGCACCTGGAGCTAGAGGTTCTCCACCTTTCAGGACAGGCTTTTGTGGCCACAAGCCCTAATCCCCTTTAAGATACCCAAGTCCTCAACCTCCCGATCCTAACTCGGTTCTTATGGTCCCTCCACCGCCAATAGGCTTGGGACCTGTCTCGCGTCCCATCCTCCCCACTGCGACGGCAGAGCTCGCTCCAATAGTTCACGGCACTGAACTCCAGGAACCTTGCGTACCTGCTCGGGTTTGCCACCACCGCCGGGCCAACCCAGAACGAATTAACCGGGCCCAGAAGTTAGATGAGGCTCTGAAAGTGACCAATTCCAACTCCGATCCCTCAGCCAAGAAAGGAATCGGTCCCCAAGGACCTATTCTCCCGCCTTGGGCACCAGGTCCTGGACAGAGACCGCCCCGCTGCCTCCTCTCCACGCTCAAACTGGGTACACACGACCTTTGAAAAGTAAACGCGAGCGAGGCTGGGCGACCTTGGGTGGGACGCGCTCGGGTTCGCTACCCAGAAGGGTGAGCCAGCCCTGGGAAAGTTGAGGCGCACCGGGACGCCCGGGGGATTACGCCCTCGTCCCCATCCCAGAGGCCAGTGACGTGCCGGGGATGGGAGGGGGAGCAGCGGCTCAGAGCTGCGCCCCAAGCTAAGCGCACGCGATCTGACAGCAGCGGCCCGCGGGGCAGACAGCTCGACGGGGGAAGGAGGACCAAGGGGCGCGCGGGTCACTGAGGCACAGACCCGCCAGCTTCACAGCGGGCCCCGTGCACACACCGCTCCGTCCCCGGGGCACCTGGCGCGCGCGTCGCACCCGGCACCTGCACCCCCAGGCTCCCCATCACCCCAACTCGCTCTCCCTCCGGGCCCGGCCGGCGGGTGCCCGCGCCAGCCGCTACTTACCTGCTCCCGGGCGACCGTCTAGGTACACAGTCCTCCCGCCACCGCCCCCTGGCCCCCACCTAGCCCCGCGGCCCTGCCCTGCAGCGCTGCACCCCGCTTCGGCCGCTCCCCCACGTGCTAGCCCAGGCCGGGCGAACACAGAGACATTAAATACTGAGGACGCGCAACGACGTGCCCGCGGCGCCACGCAAAGCCCCGCCCCTCGCCCTCGGGCCCCCGCGTCCCCCCCCCCCCCCCCGGCCCGCTCGACCTTCCTGCGCGTGCGCGACACCGGCCGCTCCCTCCCCCGGCTTGCGCGCGCCTCTCTCCCAGCTGCGCCAAGAGGGGCGCGGTCTGGAGCGCTCGGCTGACATCCCGGCGCCGCTCGGGCCCGCCCGGCTGGTGCTCTCGCGAGAGGAGCTGTAGTCGCGGCGGGCGGAGGAGATGGCCGTGCGTGCGTCCCGCGCGCGGCCCCGGGGTGGGTTCCCGGTGTCTCCGTGCCCGGCGCGGGGAACTTGGCATGCGTGGGGGAGGTCTCTGCTTCTTCCCAGGTGTCAGGCAGGTCCCTGCCTTCGGACGGTGTGTCCTCTGGAAAAAGCCAGAGAAACTGCTTGGTGAGGGACCAGGCTCCCCTTGTCTCGGGTTGTAGCTCTCCCGTAACCTTGCGAGTGTAACGTAGCGTTGCGAGGATAATAGGTGGCCATTAAGATGGCTCAGTAGTGTGGATACTGTGTAGCACTCGAATGCAAGGTGCTTTCCCATTTTCGCAGATTTTGTGATGTCGAAGTGACTTTTCCTCTAAATGGTTCGGGTTTTTGGAAAGTTTGCCTTCGAAGAAGTGGTCACCGTGAGTCACTGCCTCCCCCCAACAACTTTGGAAAATAAAATAATCTTCAGACAATCGGATAGGACGGGGGTTCTGCTGGCCAGTCCTGCTCTGGACCTTAAAACGTAGGCACTTTTTGTTTCCTTTTTTTTAATATTCTGAGACTGTCTAGTGTAACCTGCACTGGCTTAAACCTGCAAAGGTAGCTGAGGCTGACCTTGAACTCCTGATCCTGCCTCCACCTCCCCGAATGTTGGCATTACAAAGGCAACGTGGTACTTGAAATGCACATTTTAAAAACAAAATATAGAAAAAATACCATATTAAGAACTGACCAGTACTTGGGAATGATCAAGAAGCTGTGGCCATTGATTCGAGACTAGATGCTGGCCTGAGCTAATGACCTGGCACTCAGGGACTCTGAGGGTGTTAGAAGTAGAGGGACGAGACTCACTCATGTTGTTATGGTTAAGGAAGGGGCAACGGGGAATGATAATCCTTCTTGCTTGAGTTTCTGTGGGAATCAAGAATGGGGAAAGTGCTGGTAGACAGGCATTTGGTTTATTTGGGACCCGTTAACTTTGGGCTGTTTTTGCAAATAGCAACGAGTTGGATGTGCAAGTCTAGAGTTAAAAGGAGAATGGGTAGGAAATACAGATATGTGAGATTATGTAAAAAGGGAACGCACACACATTTATACACGTTTGGGGGTGTTTTGTTTTCCCTTTGCTTTAGATAGGTTCTTACTAGGTAACTCAGGCTGGCTCAAATTTGTGATTTTTCATATTAGTTAGTCTCCTTAGTGCCAGGATTACAGCTGTGCACCACCATACTTGGCTTAAAGTGGGGGATACTTTAAAGAAGAGAAGGAAACAAGCAAGAAAAGAGAGGGAAAAAAATTAAAAAATATGGGCCTGGAGAGATAGCTTAAAGGTAAAAGGGGTAAGAGCACTTGCTGTGCAGGCCTGAAGACCTGAGTTTGAAATTCCAGCACCCGTGTTCAAAGCTGGCTGTGTAGCTGGCGGTGGTGACGTATGCCTTTAATCCCAGTACTCAGGAAGCAGAGGCGGGAGGATCTCTGTGAATTTGAGGCCAGTCTGGTCTACAGGGTGAGTTCCAGGACAGTCAGGGCTACACAGAGAAACCCTGTCTTGAAAAACCAAACCAACCAAACAAAGCTGGCTGGGTGGGCCTGATGGGATGGCTCAGAGGGTAGGGGCACCTGCTGCCAAGCTTGAAGTCCTGAGTTCTATTTCCAGGACCCACTTGATGGAAGAACATAACCAAATCCTAAGAGTTGTCTTCTTCTCTTCCCTGTCCCCTCACATCTTTACCTCTGGAGTGCTAGTGTTACGGATGTACATGACAACCCTGGTTTATGTGCCCCGGGCTGGGGATTGAACCCAGGGCCTCTTGTATGGGAGACCAGCACTCTACCAACCTGGCTACATCCCCAGCCCCTTGTGAAGCTCTTTTGTAAAAAGTCAGTGTCGTAGCAGTGTCTCCAATCCCAAGGTCACATCTTTGAGAAATGCCATAGCATTTCTGTTGGAAGAGTCCACAAAGACATTTCAAGGGATGATAAATATGAGCTGTCTACTATGTGTATACATTAGAGGAGCCCCTCCCACTTTCCACTCTACTCCCAGTTCCCTTACAAAGAAAATGCATTTAGTTATGTCCCAGGCCTGTGTGTCTGCAAGGGATATCCCTAAGGATGTCAATGAGCAGAATTCGGGAGCAACTCTAACTGCACATGACTAACTAGTACTCCCCAACACTTAATCCCTGGCACGGAGCAAAGGTCTTTGTTCTAATCCTCCACCAACCTCAAAAACTCTTATTCTAATGTATTCCTGTTTCAAATCCCTTAGTCACACACATCAACAGAGTCAAGATTTCAACCCAAGCTTCCTGACTCAGAACCCATTGATTAACCAGCCGGCTTTGCTACAGATAGAGACGCAGGGCCTCAGGGAGCAGTTTTACAGGAGAAATGAATCTGTTGTGGGGAGGAATTGTGTCCTCTAAAAAAGATACATTGAAGTCCTAAACCCCTTTGCCTCCAAATGCATCCTGATTTTCAGGCTGTTGCTGCAGGTGCTGAGTGGAAATCACACCTCTCTTCCAACAGAGGTTGGCTACTAAGTGGCGATCACACTCTATTCCTGTAGGACTGGGGTTCTATAAGAAGAAACCCTAATTCAACCCACTTGGTGTGTGATTGATGACCTTATAAGTAGAGTCACAGAGTCATTGAGACAGAACACCCTGTGAGAATGGAGTTCCAAGGAGGGTTGGGAGTTAGCTTGGTGGCAGAGAACTTGCCTAGAACATACAAGGCCCTGAGTTTGATCTCCAGCATCAGAAAGAAATAAAAAGTGGGTCGGTGGGGATGCCAAAGGTTGCCAGCAAACCATCAAAATCTGGGGAAAGACCAGGGAATCATTCCTCTGCAGCTTTCAGGATGTACCCTGATTTTAGACTTGCCTCCAGAAGTGTGAGACAGTTGAGTTTCTGTTGGTTTGAGCAAGTCAGTTGTCATACTGAATTTAGCTACTGTAGCCTCCATAAACTAAAGCAGTGCCCTCCTCTCCTGAGCCCCTGGAGCCCAATTCATCAAAGGAAGTGTGATGCCAGTGGGTGGTGAGGCTGTTACCTGCCTCCCCTTTGGCCTCACAGGGCAGGGCCCTTGTGCAAGAGGCTTTGATGAAGGGCTCTCAGATAAGCATAGCCCAAGCCAGTCACCACCACTAACTACTTGGGAATTTCTCCCAGTCTCAGTTCCCCTTCTCGTGTTCAGTGTGTAGCTGGCCTAGGTATGATGGGCCATTTCCCAGAGTCCCACTCCTCCTCTCTTCCCAGCTCCTTCCACTGGGCATTTCAGCTTGGAACTGGAGCATTTAAAAAAAAAAAAATCTGCATGCCCTCAGCAGGATGGAGTCTGCCCAAAACTAATGTAAGCTTCCACGATGGCAAAGCTCGTGCAGGTAGGAAATCACATCGTGAGAGCCCACAAGCCGATTCACTGGATTCCTGAGAGATAACAGTTAGGACCCTCCCCGAGGCTTCCTAAGCTTGCTGGATGCCAGGGTACAGCTGCTTGGATGCTTGGATCAGGGGAGTCCAGTGTGCCGTGTTTATTTGGGTAGTTTGCACAGCCGTTCCGACTTCCGCTACAGCACGGCAATCTAGAAATCTCAAGTAACTCTGGGAAACCTGAGCTTCCTTGTGAGTGAGATGGCCAGGGTGCCTTGTTCCCAGGAGAGGTGGGGGAGCACCGTGTAGGAGCAGGCACTTTGCAGCCAAAGTTCCATCGTCCTCAGCCTCCACACCTTTTGCCCTGCCGTCTCTCTAGAACTGTTTTCTGGCTCTCCTCATCTAAAGCACGGCAGACCTCTGGGGCTGGGATGTGGCTCAGCTGATAGAATGCCTGCCTAGCGTTCAGGAAGCCCTAGATTGGATCCCCTGCATTGCACCAACTGGACGTAGTAACACAAGCCTGTGATCCTAGCACTGGTGGAGGCAGGAGGGTAAGAAGTTCAAGGTCGTCCTTGATTTTGGCTGCATGGGGAATTGGAAGTCAGCTTAGGTAACACTGTAAGACTCTGTCAAAGTCAAAGAAGGAGGGAAGGAAGGAGAGAGGGAGGGAGGGAGAGTGGGGAGTGGGAGGGAGGGAGGAAGGAAGGACGGCAGGCAGGCAAAATGTATGAGAGTAAAATATATATAAATCATCAGCCCAGAAAGTGCCTCCTCATGCAAACCATTGCAGATCTGCCTAGATGCGCACACAGGTGCACACACACACACACACACACACACACACACACACACACACACACACACGAATGTCATTGAAACAGTGTGACCACCCAGGGATCTAATAGTGGCTCGAACTCTACATTTGGAAATATTGTAACTGGGGAGTTCTTATTATTTGGAGAGATATGATCTGACTGTGTAGACCTGAGTGGCCTGAAGCTGGTCATGGATCTTCTTGCCTCTGCCTTCTGAGTGCTAGGATTATAGGTCTGTGCCACCATCCGGAGCTCATTTTATTGTTTTTGTTGTTTCTAGATAGGGCCTTGCTACATAGCCAAGGCTGGCTTGGAACTCGCTATTTTGGCCACTTTGGCCTAAACTCCCATTGTTCCTTCTGGTGTGGTCTCTAAAGTGCTGGGATAATAGGTATGAGCCCAATGCCTGGCTCAAATAAAAACTTTGCAGAGGGGCGGGGGTGTGTGTGTGTCAAGACAAGGTTCTCTGTATAGGCCTGGCTATTCTGAAACTAGCTCTGTAGACCAGACTGGCCTCAAACTCACAGA